TACAGATATTCAGTGTAACAGTTTTCTAATTTAAAAATGATCAATAATCTTAATAAACCTTGGAGCAGTTAGCTTGACATCAGGATGGAAGTCTAGAAAATGAGATAAAGCCAGTCTTAGTCTGAACAATAGACCAATACAATGAGTGAAGTGTTGTAGCTGCCGACAGTGTTCTTCCAGTGGCAGGTGTATCCTCCTTTAGTGATTCTGCTCAGAGGCTTTCTGTGCGCTTGACACCACTACAGAAAGTCAAGTAGGTAAGCAGAAAAGAAGCCCATGGAAATCCAAACACAAGTGGTTTGATGCTATTCTGTCTTTTTCTAAGAACAAACCCCAGAGAGTGGGCTCCATTCTGATTCTATATCTGTTATGACAGACCTTTTTCAAATCCACTGAGTCCAAAATTGTCTTTCAGCACAGACCACGTGTCTCTTTTTGAAACAAAGAAAAATACAAAAAAATACCCAAAGGGTGGTTGAATCACACGGAATACCAAACAAGAATTCCCTGCTTCTCCATGTGGAGAGTTGCTGCCATTGTGCAACAAACTACTGTAATTCATCATCCAGCTGTCGGTGGGCAAGAGTTGTGTGATTCTCCTCTGTAAGGCTCACTTATTATGAGATGATGTTAAATGTACAAATGGAAAGAGTTAGTCTTTTAATCCACATCAGATGTCTCTGATGAAATGGCAAAGTCGGATTTGAAAAGGCCATCGTTTTAAACTTTTGGCTTTTTGTACTTCAGTCATTCTCTGCTCGATTATAGTACCAAGATAAATGCCATATGAATGACACTTTTTGAGACAGACTCCTTCAGGGATTTCTTTGCCCTTTTTGTGTCATCAGAAAGTTCAGCGTTCGATCCCTAAATTATGAACTGTTTCATTATCTTGATAAAACATTTTAGGCCATCAATATCATTCTACTCTCAGTGCCTCCGTAAGGCATCACTTTGAGGGGGGACAGTAAGAACTTTAATAGAAATATAAGATCAGAGTGAAACTTGTTTTCCATTACCTTTAATTATTCATTTGAACGTCTCGTTTGACAGCCAAATTAGAGAGAATAAGGCAAGATTTGACTGTGTCAACTCTTCCTTTGAAACTCTTAAAACTCTGTTGTGGAGATCTGGGTGACTTCTGATTGGAGATCTTGCTGGATCCTCCTTGAACGAGAGCAATGGGGGACCCGATCCATGCCTAGTCATGCCGGCTTCTTTCCTGCTTCTGTTGGAGCACAGATGGACACTGGCTCCCTGGTGGTGTTGTGGCCTCTGGTCAGACTGTTTTGCTCCACACGGGTCCGACAGGGGAGGCAGAAATCCCTGAAGCATCGCTTGAAATTTTCATCCAGAAATGCATAGAGGACAGGATTGAGGCTGCTGTTGGTATACCCCAAAGCAATGCACAGATGCCAGCTAGCTATCACAAAGGGATTCCTGCTGTCAATTTCTATCATGGTCTTCACAATGATGAATATGTGAATGGGGGTCCAGCAGATGATAAAGGCCGCCACCACCACCAGGACCATGCGGGTAATGCGGCGCATGTTGCGGTCTTTCTCCTTGGAGCCTGAGAGCAGACGAACACTCCTCAGACGCAGGATCATCAGACCATAGCATATGGTGATGACCATCACAGGGACCACAAAAGCAAAGATGAAGACGCAGATCTTTGTCACCGTGTCCCAATACCAGTCAGGCTCAGGAAACTTTAACATGCAAGTGGTTTTACCTGAAAAAAAACAACAACATTTTGATGGTGTTAGACAAAATAGGGCTAATGTTAATTAACATCTGTGAAAGATCTGAGCAAAAACCACAGGATTCAAATCCAAAAAACTGCAGTGAAGGCTGTGGTACAAGATCAAGAACCTTTCGTGTGTAGTGCAGACTTTTAAATTCAGCACATTTTCAGACAGTCTGTCATGGAAGGTTTCATAATGTTGCACTCAGCTGTTCACACAATAAGAGATAAAAAGTCCCCTAAAGTGTTGAAGAAGAGAGAATAAAGCAAAAGCTAATAACTTTTCAAAAGTTATAGAAGCACATGTAGTGACATGTAATTTACGTGTAAAATAAATAGGTGAATAAACTGGGGGTATGTGGAGGTCTTTTCTATCCTTACTGGTCACCTATAGCATATTAGAATATGGGGCACATACTTATATATTCATACAATGCTTTATTTTGTGGTCCAGTGGCTGAGAATTTGAATATTTATTTCTTCAGACTTTACATGAAATATTCTGATAAACTGAAATACTGGACTTCTGGTTTTCATTAGCTATAAGAGAAAAATCAAAATTTAAATAGATAAAAAGCTTAATTTTATATTTTGATGATACTGTTTTTTTAATTTAGTGTACAGTATCCATGCACACTCCTTAAAATATATTAGTTAACATGAACAATCTTAACTTTTGATGTGAAAGTATCTGACCCTTCTTATATTATTATTATTATTTTGTTCGTTGAATGTTTTGCTTGAAAAGTAATTGATTTGAATCTGTAAAATTTTATACTTTGCTACTAAAATTATTCATCAGAATATTTAATAAATTGATCCCGTAATTTTTTTTTAGCAGTGCATTATAAATACATGCCTCATAAGGATCTAAAAAGACGAGCATTCACAGTAACGATAAACAAATACATGATCATAACCAGTGAATATGAATGATTTCAAATCATTTTCTATTATAACTTCTGTACCTGAGCGTACCTGGATTTTACTTGTGTGGGCAACTCAAACTTATCATCCCAGTACAGACCTGCATCACTGAATTTATACACACATTTTTATGCACGTGCAGTTATTTTTATAGTTTGTCTTTTCAACCATCACAATGAATATACTACTGTACAATTCCTTCACTCTTTATATTTGAATTTTTTGAAAGATTAGTCACTACTTGCACATTTCACGTTTCCTTACTGTTAGGCTGATCACTGCACTTTTGCATCCCCGGAGAGGGAACAGGACTGAACATATCGATCGACTGACTGATTGAGTTGAACTCTCTGTTCTCTCAGCCTCATGTTCACATTCTGCAGCATCTTCCTCTTTTTTTTCTTTTAACCCGTTTTTCTCTGAACAGAATAGAACATTGCACACACGAGGAAGACTGTGGCCAAACACTCCTTATGTTTCTGCTCCACTGTTCAACAGTGTTTCAGTTTCTCCCTGGAGCAGGATGGAAAATAATCTGAAAAGGAGTTTATTTGTAGTCTTGCAATCAGCGACCCTGCAAAGAGCCCCCATCTTTGAGAAATCTAATAGGTTATATCTGAAAACATTGACTGATAATAACATATTGTTTTTAGCTGTAAGAGGGTGGCAGACTTTCGCAATCTTTCCAAAGTTTGCATAGTAGTCTTCAGTTGATCTTTGTCAAGAGCGGTGTATAGAATAAGTTTTAAGTCAGGATCAACCAAATTTAAGACTAGACTCAACTATTTCCAGTTTTATTCATTGGCATGCATGTGAATGGATATGGCTATGGCTGTTTGCTGGTATCAAGAACTGTCATTTTTATTTTCATGTCTGATTTGCAGCAACACTGAATCAAAGTAAAACAAAGGGGAATTTAAATTATATTAAATTATGAAAATCAATAAAGCTGAACCGTCAACACCTTCACGGTCAAGCAGTCTAATTATGTAATAACAAAGTGAAAAGAGGTCTTCAACAAAGCAAAGAAAGGCATTTCTTTGAAAATGAGAGCAAAGCTCACGTTGCTAGTTTTTTGTGAAGATTCAACTACTTTTAAAATGATCTCACCTCTCGCGACGCTGACCATGGTAAACACAAACTGTACATCCAATGGCAGCGCTAGACATTTCCTCCTAATCAGAGACAAAATCTCCCAATCAACTCCTCACTGCTGTGTACGCTCAGCTGCTCAATTTAAACCCTTTAAATGACACGAGACGCCGTCTTCAGCGTTAGAAGCTGTACAGGAATGTCCAAGTGAAAGGAAGGTTTAAGCTGAAATGGCAAACTTTGTTACAGCTGGTGCATTTGTTACAATGTTTGTCTTTGTGCTGCACTAATAGCTATGTGTTGACTGTCTGCTATATGGTTTGAAGGATCAGCAGTGACTTTATATGGCTTTAGCAGACAACAAGGTGAGCCTTGAGCTGCAAACTCTGTAGCTACAGACAGCGAGAAACCCGATAACATATACAGGAGCCTAAATAAAATAAGATGTGGACCCAGGGATAAAGTTTGGATTTGCTGTAACTCTGTTTCACCCCTCTGAGTCTTTCACAGAAACATCAGCTAGGGTGCAGAGATACAGCAGTTTCTCCAAACTGTCTGATAAAAAGATTATTTTTGCCTCATTATCACTCTATTGCACATCATAGTGAGACATACCTCATAATGGCCAACAGCTATACTCTAACAATACAACTGATTAAGCTGTAATTTTATGTACTGATTTTCAGGCAGCTCGTTGCAAGACTGAGTGTTAGATGAGTGAGGAAGCGTCTCCTCCACCTACATTTTGTATTGACTTTATAGGGCTATAAAATGTGTTATGCTTCATCCCTGATTGTCCTTACTTTTTGGTACTGAGGACAATCTTTGGCAAAGCAGAGACTGATCTTCAGAGAATTCACAGACATTATCCTATTGTCTATAAGCCAACAAGAGCTAACTGAACAAATACCAAATTAGCTTCAGACAGATAGAAAAGAAAAATTCCAATTAATACTAGTATAATCAATTTAGCTGATTCTGTGGGAGAATAAACTGTTTTGGTGGTAATTATTAGATATTACAAAATCACAAGTTAGAAGCATTAATGGTATTTTCTATGCTTTTCTTGCTTTAGTTTGGGTTAGCAAGGTGCACATTTTGAGTAGCTCATTCACTCTATGTAAATGTAACTTCCTCATATGGAAAGTGGAAGTGCTTTATTTTTCAGCGCCAATTGTTAATGCTTGGTCAGGACCAGTGCTCTTCACTTTATATAAAATGGGCTCTGAACACCTCAGGAACACACTATCCGGTCTATAATTGATGAATCCTGCTTCAGGGCCCAAACTACTCTGCGTTTAATAAGGCTGTTGTGTTTTTAACATGTTTTAATGATTTGTATCTTGTTCTATTTAATCTCAACAAGCCCCTAAAAACAGGCAGTGATCACTGTCGGCCTCTCTCTGTTTTTATTATCACTGTTCATTTTAAAGCTCAGTTTTTAAACTCTTACGATGTAACTACAGCTCAGCCCATGCAGCAGTATATTAATGACTAACCTCGTATTGTGGATGAATTATCTCAGTTGTTCTCCCACCCTCACGTTAACATTTATCGAGTGGAAAACAGTTAGCGTCCCCCAGCTTCGCTGTTTTAATTATGCTAACATAGCTGTGTCGCTAGCGATCATGTAGCACATCATTATATACCAGCTAGCCCAACTTCAGTAACCCTACAAACCTCACTGCTGTTTACTCGCCTGTCTTCATTTATGTTGGAAGTGATAGCAGAGCTGTACGTGTTAATTTGTCTCAGAAATCTCTCAGTCCGAACATGCTATATTATATTTAGATGAAAACTAGCGAGCTAACTCCTTGCTAACTTCTAACTCCGTTAAATTTAATAAATTCTGTTTTCATGGATGCCTGGATGCTAAACTTAATTGTTACACCTGGTAAATTTTATTTTATTTCATTTTATTACAGATGAAAGAAATTAGACAGTTTTTCAACTCTCAATGATCTGCAGTCACTGTGTGACTTTGGGACCTGCAGCAGAGTTTGGGCCCAGACACGGCTAATGACATCAGACTTAAAGACCGGATTGAACAGTATAGATGAACACTACAGGGAGGAAGCTTGGAGTGATTTATGACCAGTACGTGTTCTTTCACTAACACATTAAAAACAAGAGTTTACAGTTGTCTTCTTCCTAATTATATCATAATCAGGAATACTGTCTCAGTTAAGATTAATTGAGGATGCACTGATCCAGCTTCATCCAGTTTCAACAGAGTGCTGAGACCTTGGATTCCAACCCAGTGTTAAAATCTACCTCATTCTGAGGAAGAGACTGAGAGTCATTCTTTTACAGTGACATCAGGCTCAAACTAACTGTTTCTGTCCTAACTCTGTAAAAGATAATAATAATAATCATAATAATATACATAGATATACTCTCGTCATATGCAAGAATTTAATCCACACAGGGTCAAAAGTATATATAAACTCTTTTATATACATATAGTCACCTAATCTTTTATTAAGTGTTGCGTTAGTGTCTTTTAACTTGACAAGGTCTATTAACTTCTCGTTAGTGATCATGATTGAATACAACGGGTTTTACTTCAGCAGCATCAAAAGGATTTGTTTGACAGCACTCACTGGATGAAAGTGTCACAGTCATGAAATACCTTCAAACTACTGATTCTTTGCTGTCAGTGTTCTTCATGCTGTGTTAGCAACTCTGCTAATAACTCATTCCAATGGCTGGCATCGCAAAGAATAACACAGAATTGAATTGAAATGACTAGATTGACCATATAAATTGCTCTGTGTCATGACTCAGCTTTCTGAGTTGGGATCAGACTGATATCTCATCCAGATATGGTGTAGGTGCCGCCCTAGTCCTGGTCCTAGCTCCACCATCCTCACTTATTAAAGGATCCAGACACGCAGACAAGCAGTGCTTCTTGAGTCGCTGCAAAGAAGCTTTGTTTTTTTTAGTGCTGACCATTCTAACAGAATGAAATATACTGCAAAACAAACCCGTGCATACCTGCACATGATAAGCAGCAAGCACCGAGGCTTATTTGTTCTGCGATGCATTTCAGCAGGACGAAAGACTCTGCAGGAGACACCGCAGAGAGCTACGGAGGTTTGTATTGATGCAATGACTGTAAAAGATGCGGCACCCTTTGCTTTGATTTATTAGCTCCTGCTCAATGTAACTGTAGCCACAGTTGAAAGGTACATATTGGTCACAGCCCGATATTGATTTTTCTACAGTTAAATGGATGGCTTTGTTTAACAGTGAAAAAGTGAGCAATTTTACTCGCACTAGCAAGCTGTTTAATAGTCCCAAATCTATATTTCATTAAAATGATGACACATTGCACTCCCAGCCCCTCTCTTTACTCCTGTTCTATTGATCTCTAGCAGTTTGGGCCTTGCAGAGAATCATAAATCGTCCAAGCATCTGTGGCACTTTTTTTTTTAACACTTACCTTCCATCTCACAAATAATGAAGCACGGGAATTACACAGAGCCATGAGCGAATGTGAGGTCTGCGTTTCAGAGTATTCTCATCCTCATCATTTCCATGCAGAGCTGGACAGTAAACACCATCTAGGAATGTGCATGTTCCCTGTCACCAGTGTTGGGGAGTAACGGAATACATGTACCGCCGTTACGTATTTAAAATACAAAATATGAGTAACTGTATTCC